GAGGCTGACACAGGAGGATCGCAAGTTCAAAGCCAGCCTCAGCAAGGGCGAGGCCCTAAGCAACTCAATGAGACCCTGTCTCTAATAAAACACCAAATAAGGCCAGGATTGTGGCTCAGTGATTAAGTGCCCTGGGTTCAATCCCTGGTACAAAAAAAAAAAAAAAAAAAAAGGCAAGATAAAATATTTACCTGGTCTCAAGCACTGGACTTTTCGGCTCCACTAGAAGAGCAGTTCTGGGAGGGAAAGGAGAAGCTTCCTGGAAGGAGTGGGAGACAAATATGGAGAAAGAGAAGATGATGGGTGCAGCTTTGGATTTAACTTGAGAGACCAAAGAGAGATAGATGGGCCTGAAGAGTGGGGCTGATGCCAATCTAAGTCTTATTTGGCCTCTTGCCCAGGTCTGTGTCTAACTCACCAATCAGAGACGGAGCCCTTGTTCCGCCCAACGTGGGTCATTTCCCACACACTATCTCTTCTACACACCCGCCTGGGATGTTCTGTTGTCCTGGGCCTCAGAAAGAGGCTGTTACAAGTACTCCCTCTAATAGGCAGAAAAGATGGATCCCTTTATCTCCTGGCAAAAGCACTTTGCTTTGACTTCCCAGTGTTCCCTGCATAGTAGCTGCACAAAGCCTGTTTGTGAAGGTAGAGTCCCTTCCTAGCATTCTAGAGGAAAATTCCATTGGTGCCTTCTAGATACCAATGTGTCTTCTTGGCATAATCCAACCTCCTTAATATGCTGTAATAAATCTGAAATATCCTGACAGTAAATTTCACTGCCAACAACTCCATTCTCTGGCTTACGTGGTGCTGCAGTGTATGTCATCCTGGGGCTCTCCTTAGGCTCAGAGAGGGGGACAGATGTCACGTTCTTCAGAATTTATTTTATTTGACCCGTATTTACACATCACTGACCAGGTACCAGGTACTATTCTTAGTGATTTCCTATTATATTAACTCATTTTTTAAATTCCTTTAATCTTCCCAATGATCGCCATTGTTATTTCCATTTGGCAGAGAGGTTCAATAATTTGCTTGGTGGTGCACAGCTAATAATTGGCAAATTGAAATTTAGACCTAGTAGGGGGATTCTGGAGTCCTTGCTTTTTACCACTGAGGTAGCCTTAAACTTGCATTCTCTATGATATCTGAATGACCCCTGGTGGATATTTGTTAGCATTTTTGAGAAGGACATAAGGCTCAAGGCAAGCCAAGGGCTGATAAGAGGTGGAGAGTGACTGTAAAAGGAAACTTACATTGCAGGTATTATGGCTTGGATTTGAGATGTCTGCTAAAAACTTCTGTGTTAATGCAGGAATGTTCAGAGGTGAAATATTTTGATTGGGAGGGCTGAACCTAATCAGTCTGTTTGAATGGACTGGGTGGTAACTGTAGGCAGGTGGGGCATGGCTGGAGGAGGGTCATTGGAGCTAGGCCCTAGAAAGTTTCCTCTTTCCTGCAGCCCCTTCTCCCTTCCCTCTTTGCTTCCTAGCTGCCAGGAACTGAGCAGCACTCCTCTGCCACACTCTTCTGCCATTATATCACCTTCATCTTGGGACCAGAACCATGGATTCAGCTCCACTATGCACTGAATCTCTGGAATCACGAACCGAAATAAACTTCCCCTCCCCTTCTCTGTTGTTCGTGTTGGGTAATTTTGGTCACAGCAAAGCAAAAGCTGACTAACACAGCAGGGGAGGGAAACTCTGGCATGTGAGACTCCTCTCCCACTTAAGCAAGTGCCAGCCTTGGTTTGTGCTAAACCATATTCTCTGCCCACTGAAAGTGCTTGTCATTGCCTCCTTTCTGCCGCCCATGAGTCTAGATTTTTTTTTTTAGACCATATTTTTAAGTAAAGTATTTATAAAGGAGTTTTTGCCAACATTATCTCTACAAATTTCCTCCAAATAAACTCTTCCCCCTCGTCAGCTGCCTAACAGGCATTTTCCTTAATAAAAAATGCAAAGGCTTTAACCAGCACACATCAATCAGTGTACTGGATTGCTAAGCTATAGATGTATTAAATGCATGTACAGCTTACGGTATTTTCAATTTATGATGAGTTTACATGGATGTAACTCCATTATAAATTGAGGAGAAACTGAACCTAATTTCATGGAATTTCCCAAACAACTGCAAAGAAGACATCAGTCTTCATTTGATAGAGAGAAAAGGGAGGCAAAAAAGGTAACATGAGTTCTAAAGACTTATTACACCTTATTTGCATTCACCCGGGAATATGACTTTTTTTTTTTTTTTTTTTTGCAGTACTTAGGATAGAACCCAAGAGTGCTCTACCACTGAGTTTCATTTCTGCTTTTTTTATTTTGAGATTTCACTAAATTGCCCAGGTTGTCCTCAAACTTGCAAAGTTCCTGCCTCAGCCTCCAGAGTTACTGGGATTATAGATGTGTGCCACTGCAACCAAATGGTTTATAACTTCTTTTTTTTTTCTTAATTTAATTTATTTATTTATATGTGGTGTTGAGGATCGAACCCAGGGCCTTGCACATGCTAGGCAAGTGCTCTACTGCCTGAGCCATAACCCCAGCCCAGAATATAACTTCTTTATCTCCCAGTTAACAATGATTATGTCTTTCCCATCTCCCTCCTTATCATATCACAGACTCAGTGAGTTTTTCAAAGGGTTTCCTCCCCTGTATTCGTTTGGGACATCAAACGGCTAAGATGATGAAATACTGTAGTGATATAACATATGTGCCTCAAAACCTGTGGATTGCAACTTTTCAGTGAACTTTTATGATCATGGTGATAGCTAAGATCAATAGAGCACACACTGAGGCTAGCACTGACCTAAATGCTTGTCATGCATTATCTTTTTTTTTTAAACTGAGAATTGAATGTTTTACCACTGAGCTACATCCTCAGTCCTTTTTATTTTGAAACAGAATCTTGCTAAATTGCATATGGCCTCACTAAATTGCTGAGACTAGCCTCAAACTTGCAATTCTCCTGTCTCAGTCTCACAAGTCACTGGGATTACAGGAATGAGATACCATGCCCAGAAGCATTCATTATTTTATTTACTCTTCATAACCACAGTAAGAGGTAGGTATTATCATTGATATATTACAGATGAAGGAAAAGGCTAGAGAAGTAACAGAACCTACTCAGGATCACATAGCTATTAGGTGATGGAATCTGGATTCAAACCCAGGAAATTGGTCAGAAGTTTTGAACTACTGCAGAAGACCACATGACTTCTTCTAGGAGAAGTGTGATCAGTATTATGCACATTTTATTACCTTTAAAATTTTATTATGTAATATTTTTAGATAGAAAAAGGTACATTATGCACAATGTTTCATTAGTGCAATATATAGATGTATGTTTGCATACACACACACACACACATATACATATATAAAAATAGTTTTGTGCCACTTAATGATGGATATGTTTTAAGAAATGTGTTAGGTGATTTTATAATCGTGCAAACATTATAGAGTGTGTTATCACAAACCTAGATAGTATAGCCTACTAGGGAATGTAGCTCAGTGGTAGAGTGCTTGTCCAGTATGCACCAGGTCCTGGGTTCAATCCCCAGCACCGCCTCCCACCACCACCACCAAAAAAAAAAAAAAGCATTACCTACTATATACTTGAGCTATAGGTAAAGCCACTGTGCTATATGCAGTTCATCATTGACCAAAATGACTTTATGTGGAACATTACTATATATCTATCACAAAGTGTGTGGAGCATTAGGATGTAGTAACAAATTACCCCAGATGAAGAGGGTCAGGAGAAAGTTTAAGGCAATCTTAGAAAATCAGTTACAGTTTATTATCCATTTCCACTTATGTGTCTAGCATTATCTTAGTCAAGAGAAGTATTAGAAGACCCTGCCATAAAATAAGCCACATAGCCTAATGTGGTGGCAGCACCTGTAATCCCAGCCGCTCTGCAGACTGGGACCTGACGATCACAGGTTCAAAGCCAGCCTTAGCAACTTAAGCAAAAACCTTAAGTTTTTTTGTAAGAAAACTTAAGCAAAAAGGTGGGGGGTGGGGGGATGTTGTCGGTGGTTAGCGCCCTTGGATTCAACCACTCCCGGTACCAAATACAATAAGCCGCATAGAGGAAAGTCACTTAGTTTTGTTACAAAAAAAAAAATTGGTCTCTCTCTCTTTTTTTTTTTTTTTGTACTGAAGATTGAATCCCAGACTGTTTCTCATTTTTAAAATTTTGAGACAGGGTTTTGCTAAATTGTTCAGGACGCCTTAAATTGCCCAGGCTGGCTTTGAACTTGTGATTCTCCTGCCTCAGCTTCTTGAGAGAGGCTGGGATTACTGGTATGAGCCACTGCGCCTGGCCAATTGGTCTGTTTGTACAGCATAAAAACTAACATTTTGGGCTGGGGATGTGGCTCAAGTGGTAGTGCGCTCGTCTGGCATGCGTGCGACCCGGGTTCGATCCTCAGCACCACATACCAACAAAGATGTTGTGTCCGCCAATAACTAAAAAATAAATATTAAAAAAAAAAAAAACTAACATTTTATAATTGTATCCTATAGACAAAAAGGCAAAAAGCAGGTACAGTGATGGGCTCTGGGTGGTGTACAGGGCCAGACCTTGGGAGCCAGTCATCCCATTCAATCAAGTATCTTCTGAAGGATATGTCTAATAAGATGGGGATACACTTAAAAACCAGGTAGGCAGGTCGCTGCCCTCCTGGGGCCTATCGTCTGGCGAGAACCCTGCTCTGAGTCATTGACAAGCTCTAGCTATGTGACCTTGGATAAGAAAATTCTCCGCTCCCAATTCTGTAAAATATATGGGGTTAAACCAGGGAATCTGGTACTCAAATCCGGTGACCAAGGAGTATCACTGGCTGCTGTATTCATATAGGAGTGAGTTAGGCTCCCGGCCTCTGTGCTACCGCAAGCCTGACGGAGGGGGCGCTGTGCAGGCATGCAGAGCGTTTGCGTTCCGAAAGCGCGTGTCCCTCGCCGCACGCCGTCGTCCGCGCGGCCGCCACCGCCCGCGGAGCGGGAGGGGCGGAGCTGGCTCTGATCGGGCTCCCGAGCGGGGAGGCTGCCCAGGAGGAGGTGCGGCGGGTCCCAGCGGCCGAGGTTCGGGCGGAGCGACTGGAGAGGCTGGCAGGTGGTGCTGGCAGCGTGGGGAGAGCGGCGCCGTGGGCTGGGCGCTCTTGGCCAGAGGAGTTCACTCCATGCGTGCGGGCCAAGCACGGCCCCTGCGAGCCGCCGACATGAAGAAAGACGTGCGGATCCTGCTGGTGGGAGAACGTGAGTCCGCGCGCCCGGGCTGGCCGCGGCCGCCCTTGTCCTTCTCCTGCCTCAGCCTTGACCCTCCTTGTCCCTCGCAGCTCGGCTGTCCTCTCCGTGCCACCAGGCCTCCCAGCTCCTTCGCTCTTCCCTTTCGGCTACCCGCCGGCGGCCCTTATCCTCTCACCGCACCCGGGCCCTCCCCAGATCTCCCTTTCCTGTCCCCAGTGCTCGTCGCAAGCCTCGTCTCCTTTATCCCCTAACACCCGTCCTCATCCCTCCGAAGGTCCTCTCATCCTGCTCCTCCTCGCGTCCTTTCCTCCTGGGCCTCAGCGCTTCCCAGGCCGCCTCCTTTCACCCTCTCTTCTTCTGTGGAGATTCCCTTGTCAGTCACTGCCTGGTAGATGCTGGAACAGCAGCCTAACCAATTGGGATTGCGGGAGCCGACTCCCGGGGAAGCTAGGGGGAGGGGTGCAGAACTGTGCCACTTGGGGGCAAGGTCAGGTGTCTCTCTCTCTCTCTCTCTCTCTCTCTCTCTCTCTCTCTCTCTCTCTCTCTTTTTCCGCTCGCTGGCCGTCCTCGCTTTCTCGGTGCGTTGATTCAGAGCGCTGGGCTGTAGTCTAGCTTGGTGGTAGAGCACTTGCCTAACCTGCGCCGGGTCCGGGTGTTCGATCCCTAAGGCCGGGTGGTGGCGGCGGCGGAGGAGGCGTTTCATAGCGATCCTTGTGCTTTGTATGGGAGTAACTCCTGGTACTGGACATTTACTTTCAACTTCACGTTATCCAACTTCACGTTATCCAAGTACTCAATTAGTAATAATTATCTGGGGAGAGTCCGTTAGTCGAGTCAATGATAGTTACCCTAAAACCTAATTCTTCCTACTTTTTTAACCATTATTTACTCCACGATTACTTGGTAGTTAATTTATAAATATCAGCAGGCATACAAGACTCCAGCAGGTGTACGTACACACACACACACACACACACACACACACACACACACGACCCCAAGACCCGCTCCTTATCCCAACCCCGCGAGATTCTAAGATTTCACCTTTTGCGGATAGCAGATATAATAAAAGAGAGATGCTTCTGCTCGGTGACATATAGATAGAACAGCAGGGACTTTTCTTATTTTTACTTTTTTTTTTTTTGGTATTAGGGTAAACCTAGGGGCACTCAACCACTGAGCCACATCCCCAGCCCTTTTATAGACAGGGTCTCGCCGAGTTATATAGGGCGTGGCTAAATTGCTGAGGCTGGATTTGAGAACTCACGATCCTCCTGCCTCAGCCTCTGGAGTTGCTGGGATTACAGGCATGTGCCATGGCGTCCAGCAGCAGGGACTTTTTAATACCATTGTGTCAGTTACATGACTCAGTTGCCAGGATTAAAATAAAAAGAAAGTAGGCTAGGGAGGGCTGGAGTTGTTTGGTTTTGAATCATTAATTAATGCTCCATTGCTGTTTTTTTTTCTTTTCTTTTCTTTTTTTTTTTTTTTTTTAACAGGGATTGATCTCAGGGGTGCTTAGCCACTGAGCTACACCCCCAGCACTTTTTATTTTTTATTTTGAGACAGGGTTTCACCAGGTTGCTAGGGCCTCGTAAATTGCTGAGGCTGATTTTGAACTCTTGATCTCCTGCTGAGCCTCTGGGATTACAGGTGTGCGCCATTGCACCTGGCTGCCATTGCTGATTTTAAGCATTTTTTTTTCCTAAACTACGTTACATATTTGAAGTCTCTGCTATGCGCTCCCGAAATTTAACATATATTTACTCTCTGAATTGTTTTTTGAAATTTCTGTTCATCTGCTGTTTAGAGATATCTTCCTTTAGAATCAGAATTTGGAAGCAAGCTTAGCCATAGTTTATGTTTAGTTTGCAGTTAATGAATTTTAAGTTATAACTGTATTTAATTGTATTTTTCATGGATTTTCTTGATAAATTTCAGAAAGGTGTTATTTAACATGATTCATGAAGATGCATTTGGAGCAAGATTAGAGAAAGTGGGTGACTTGCTTAGACAGCCGATCCTTAACTGTATCTTGAAATGGGTTTATAGTATAGTAATTTTTATGCTAATTTTTAGAAAAAGAAAACTCTGGTTGGGGATGTAGCTCAATAGTAGAGTACTTGCCTTGCATGCTGTCATCTACAAGGCTTGGTTCAGTCCCCAGCACTGGGGGAAAAAAGATCCTAGGTTTAGTTTTGAATATAGGAAGCAATTCCATATTGTTGGTATACAAAAGATCTAAATAGAAATGTTGTCAATAGGGGTGGAGGTTGTGGCTCAGCGGTACTTGCTGGCCTAGAAGTGGGAGGCCCTGGGTTCGATCCTCAGCACCACATAAAAATGAATAAATAAATAAAATAAATGTATTATGTCCATCTACAACTAACTAAATAAATAAATATTACAAAAAAAGTTGTCGATATGTAAGATACATCATCAGCCTTCAGACATTTTGATTAAAACATTAAAGGTGTTGTTTATTTAGAAATATGTAAAATAGGGACTGGGGTGATAGCTCAGTGGTAGAGTGCTTGCCTCCCATATGTGAGGCACTGGGTTCGATTCTCAGCACCACATATAAATATATAAATAAAATAAAGGTCCATCAACAACAAAAAAATATTTTTTTATACAGTTTTTTTTTTAATGTTTATTTTTTAGTATTTGGCGGACACAACATCTTTGTTTGTGGTGCTGAGGATCGAACCCGGGCTGCACGCATAGCCAGGCAAGCGCGCTACCGCTTGAGCCACATTCCCCAGCCCCAACAACAACAAAAAATATTTAAAAAAGGAAATATGTAAAGTAATTCAAATATTTGTTACAAAAATCACAAGCTGTATTCTGTAGAAATGAAAGCAAGTAAAAGAGTTAATAAAACTATATATTAGAGTTTTCTGATTACAGGGGGAAACTTGACACAAGACAGTCTTAGTTTTTGAAGGTTGACACTTAAAGAGGTTGAAATCAAAAGCTTTAGGCCATCTACTATAAATAAATAAATAAATAAATGTAAATATTCACTTTAAAAATATTAGAGTACATTTAATTAAAGTATATAATTTTATTTAGTCATTCAAAAAGCTGATGTTTGGGGGGAAATATTTGAGACTTTATTTTTGGAGATTTAAAGTAAGTATCTGTCGGTTGTTAGCTCTTTAAGTGTGACCAAAGCTATTTTAATATGGATCTGATACATGGATTTATCTATACCACTAATATTAGAAAACAGTGGTAGAAATTTGAATTATCACTTGCTTGCTTAAGTGAGCATAGTTTTCAAATGCCAAGGCGAACAGAAAAGTAAAGAAAATGGAGCATCCTCTCTGGTATTATTGTTTTAAAACTTGCTCTTTCATTCTGTATCACTTTGTTACATTTTATCTATGTCAATTTCTGTCCCTGAACCATGCAGTAGCAGCTTCATTCACTGAAGTTCTGAAATAGTTATGAGTACTTTCAACATTCTATTAGCTAAACCATTCTACTGTACTGTTGAGGTGCAATGGATCTTTTTTTTTGGCCCACTTCTGATTCATCCAGGCTTTAATGCTAATTGCTTAATGTTTATTTAGCTTAGATCAAAGAAGTTTGTCTCTCTATACATTTTAGGTATTTGTTACAGAGAAAGTGAAAGTGTCTTAAACGTAATATGTATCTTAGCTTAATTATTGAACATAGCAAATGCTATTCAGACCAGACCAGAAGTCAATTATTATTCTTAAGCCAAAATAAAAATTTAAAAATCTTTAAAAATACACTCACACAGAACTCAGTTCTTCAGGGCATAACTTTTCATGGTCAATTTGTTGGCTAGAATTTATACTTAACTAGATTTGCTTTAGTATCCTAACAGGTATCCTTGTTACAGTAGAATTAGCAAGCACTGTATTACCCTTTTATCTAAATCATGTTGCTACATTAGTAGATTAATGAAGGCTTGAGATATATTTGTCTTCTACTGGTAAAAGTCATTAAGAAAATGGAACTGTTATTTTGTTTTCCAAAGAATCTGGTACCTCTAACCTGGTTTGTCTTACCCAATTTATCTCCCCAACTTCCCAAACTAGTTCAAGCTTCAGTTGTTGTGGTCTAGACTTTTGCAATATCTGCTTAACTGGTCTCCCTCCTACTTTTGTTCATTCTCTGTGAAGCAGGCAGAATCACCTTCAAAAAATATCTCAGATCTTGTTACCCATTTTAAAAATTCTTGAATGATTTCTACTTTCACTTAGAGTAAAGTCCAGATTTTTTAAATACAGGTCTCCGAGACTCTTAACGATCTTGCCTTTGCTTCACTCTCATGCTACTCTCCTTCATTGATTTCTCTACAAGTAGGCCTTGATTTGGGAAATATCCTCATTACCGAATGTATTTACTCATTTGCTTTCCTGTTTCTCGAAAGAAAACTTCATGAAGGCATGGGATTTGTCTTATTTGTTGCTCTCTCTCTAGCAGCTAGAACAGACTTGGCACAAAGTAAGTATTCAAGTGTCTGTTGAATGAATGAGTTCCTTTTTCCAAATGACTCCTCTCATTCATAAAAATGTGATCATTCCCCTTTTCTCTCTCTCTCTTTAAAAAAATTTTATACTTTTATTAGTGCATTATAGTTGTACATAATTGTGGGGTTCTTTGTGACATATTCATAAGTTCATGTACCATAATTTGCTCTATTTCATTCCCGTATACTTCCCCTTTCCCTCCTTCTCGTCTCCTTCCTCAATTCTACTGGTTTTCCTTCTATTTATTTATTAATTTATTTTTAATTGGTGCATTATAATTATTCATAGAGTGGGATTCATTGTGGTACATTTATACATGCACATAGAATAACTAATTTGGTTGATTTCATTTCACAGTCTCTCCCCCTTTCCTACCCTTCCTCTACAGGTCTCCAATCTATTTTCATGAGATCCTCTTTTGAAAATTCCTAATTTCCCTTTAGCTTTTGCATCATTCTCCTTTCTTAAATCCAGGCTCATGTAGTCATTGTTATGATCTGA